TGTCCCCGTGTCCCCGTGTCCCCGTGTCCCCGTGTCTCCGTGTCCCCGTGTCCCCCTGTCCCCGTGTCCCCCTGTCCCCGTGTCCCCGTGTCCCCCTGTCCCCGTGTCCCCCTGTCCCCGTGTCCCCGTGTCTCCATGTCCCCGTGTCCCCGCAGAGCGCCGTGACGGTGCCGCGGGACTTCGAGGGCTGCAGCACCCTCAGGAAGTACTTTGGGCAGCTCCACTACCTGCAGAGCCGCATCCCCATGGGCGCCGAGCAGGAGGCCGCCGTGCCCGTGGCCTGGTGAGTGCCGGGGGTGCCCGGGGGTGCCGTGTCCCCCGCCTCGGGGGCACCTCGGGGTGCGGGGGCCGGTTCCGACGATGTCCCGGCGGCCGCGGGACCCTTTAGGGAAGCAGCCTCCTGCCCCGGGATGGGGATGGGAAGCCTAAGCGGAGCGCCAGGGGACACGGGGCAGCGCTTGGCTCTGAGGCCACGCGCCGGTGTCACCGTGCAGGGTGACAGTCCCTGGGGTGGCTGTAACAGGGTTTCCGTGTGCGCACGGACACGATCCCACCCGCTCCTGGAGGCATCCTGCCCCCCAGTCCCCCTTCCCAGCGGGAACACCGCGCGCTCCGCCTGTAGCTGACAACCCCCCGCCCTCTCCTCACAGGACCGAGATCTTCTCGGGCAAGACGGTGACCCACGAGGACATCAAGTACGAGCAGGCCTGCATCCTGTACAACCTGGGTAAGGGCCCGGGGCGCCGTGCCCCATGGGGACACGAGGGCAGGCCGCGGGGGCCCCGCTCAGCCCTGTCCCCCTTCCCGCAGGAGCGCTGCACTCCATGCTGGGCGCCATGGACAAGAGGGTGTCCGAGGAGGTAAGTCCAAGCCTTCGTCTTCCTCGAGCGGCTTCCCTGTCCCTGCGGTCCCTGGTTGCTTCTTGGAGCGGGGGACTCCGGGCATCCCGAGTATCAAGGTCCCGGCAGGTCTATAATGTCCCCTGGGATCGTTATCCCTGGACTCAAACGAACCCGGAGCCGTGTTCCTGTGCTCCTCTCACCTCTCTTCCCCTGTCCGCCCAGGGCATGAAGGTTTCGTGCACCCACTTCCAGTGCGCTGCCGGCGCCTTCACGTACCTGCGGGATCACTTCCCTCACTCCTACAGCGTGGACATGAGCCACCAGATCCTCAACCTCAACATCAACCTCATGCTGGTAGGGAGCGGGTGCTGCTGCGGGCACCTCGGGGTGGCTCCTCGGGGGCACCCTGCAAGGTCCCCCCGCTACGGAGCGTGTCCCTGGCGGAGAACTCGGCCTCGCCGGGCTGGGAGAGATTCCCAAAGGAATTAGCTGTGGCAGAAGCCAAGAATTCCCTCCACCCTGTCTCCGCAGGGCCAGGCCCAGGAGTGTCTCCTGGAGAAATCCATGCTGGACAACAGGAAGAGTTTCCTCGTGGCGCGGATCAGCGCCCAGGTGAGCGCTTCCCGCGGGAGCAGCGCCGGAGCTGCCCTGTTCACGTGGGATCCCCAAGCCCGGCGCTCCCAGGGGACGGTGGTGACAGCAGAGCCAACGCTGCACCCGCCCCACAGCCTCGCCTGGGCCCGGGATTTGCTCCAGCCTCCGCTTTTCCCTCAAAAACATGGATTTTAAACTCGCCGGGCGCAGCAATGTGGGCACTCCCTGGTTCTGACCCCCCAAATCCAAGCATTTTCCATTCACTCACTAGGATCAGTTTTTCTGGGTGGTTTCCAAACAGCAGGAATCCACAGCAATTCCTCCCTCCCCACTAGGTCGTGGATTACTACAAAGAGGCCTGCCGGGCTTTGGAAAACTCGGAGACGGCTTCGCTGCTGGGGAAGATCCAGAAGGACTGGAAGAAACTGGTGCAGATGAAGATTTACTATTTTGCTGCCGTGGCTCATGTGAGTGGGGAGAACGGGCTCCGTTTTGGGGTGATTTGGGCTGCGAGTGGGACCTGCCCCCCGGCTGACTGCCCATGACACGGGTGACAAGCAGGCCCCGGTGGCTCTGGCGGGGTTGCTGCCTTTTCCAGGGATCTCCCCCTAGCCAGGAAGCCCTGACGTTGCTGTCGTGTGTTTTGTTGCAGTTGCACATGGGCAAACAGGCCGAGGAGCAGCAGAAATTCGGGGAGAGGGTAAGAAACCCCACGGCGGCTCCTGCGGTCCTGCCCTTTGCTGGAGTCTCCTGGGAGGGTCCCCGCTGTCCCGAGCTTCTCTGCTGGCTTCCACATCCCTGGAGAATTCAGAGGTGACCCCTGTCCTCTCGGCAGGTCATCTACTTCCAGAGCGCCCTGGATAAGCTCAACGAAGCCATCAAGCTGGCCAAGGTGGGCTCCTCTCGTGGCCACGTCCTTCCGCGTCCCCGCTCCAGGAGCGGTCCTGGGGCTGCCGGCCTGGGTGGCCGCGAGCGCCGCTGTCCCCCTCGCCCGGCCCGTGCTAACCCGCTGTCGCTCCTGCAGGGCCAGCCAGAAACGGTGCAGGAAGCCCTGAGATTCACCATGGATGTGATCGGTGGCAAGTGAGTCTGTACACGGGCTGTTCCTGCAGGGACAGGGAGGCCTGGCTGGGCAGAGCCACCGCGGGAAGGGCTTCGGCTTGGCCGCATCCCCGTGCCCTCCGTCCCCTTCCGCGTGGGAAGGCCGCTGTGGGAATTGTCCCCGAGGAGCCGGCTCGCTCCCGACGCGGCGTCGCCTCTCGCTTCCAGGTACAATTCGGCCAAGAAGGACAACGACTTCATCTACCACGAGGCCGTGCCGGCCCTGGACACCCTGCAGGCCGTGAAAGGTGAGGCCCGGAGGACGTTCTCCCTAGAGGCCGATGGTAGGAGAGGGATATGTGGGTGATGGAGCCTCGTCCCGTGGTGTTCTGTCCTCCCTGGTCCCACGTGGGCACGAAGGAGGAGCCCTGGAGGGGTGACAGGCTCCCCCGTGACGGTGACGTGTGGCGTGTCCGGGTTGCAGGGGCCCCGCTGGTGAAAGCGCTGCCCGTGAACCCCACGGACCCGGCTGTCACCGGCCCCGACATCTTCGCCAAGCTGGTTCCTATGGCCGCCCACGAGGCCTCTTCGCTCTACAGGTGCGTCCCGGCCGCGGCGGCCGTGGGGTCCCTGTGTCTCTGGGTCCCACGAGGACACCAAAGGCAGCTCAAGGGGCCCAAGCAGCCCCAGCGGTTTCCATGGAGAGTCCGTGTCCTCCTGGAAGGTCCCCTCCAGCTTCCCCATCGTGGCACTCCACCCTTGGGACCACCACCCTTGGGCTGGTTGGGGAGAGCAGCCTCAGAGGCCCCTTGGGGACAGCCGTGGGACAACCCTGGCCCCACATCCAGCTCTGGTCCACGTCTCCCTCCTGGCACCCCAAGGAGAGCAGCTCCCTGGCCCAAAGGGCTCCGTGCAGCCGGTCCAGGGGTTTGGAGGCTTGGAGTGCTTGGAATTAGGGAGTGGAGGCTCCACAGGCACCCTCGCTGGGGACTCTCCTTGCTCTGTTGCAGCGAGGAGAAGGCCAAGCTGCTGCGAGACGTGATGGCCAAGATCGAGGCCAAGAACGAGGTGCTGGAGTAAGTGCGAGCTGCAGCAGTGGGGCCCGGCCTGGCCTCCACGGCCTGGCCTCCCCGGCCTGGCCTCCCCGGGCCGCGGGTTGGGATGGGGAGGCTCTGCCGCCGCTCAGGGGCCTCCTCCCGCCCGCAGCCAGTTCATGGACTCCATGCAGCTGGACCCCGACACCGTGGACAACCTGGACATGTACAACCACATCCCGCCCGTGCTCATGGAGAAGTGCGCGGCGCTGAGCGTGCGCCCGGACACCGTCAAGAACCTGGTGCAGTCCATGCAGGGTGAGGGGCCCGGGGAGGCCCGGCCTGGGCGGCAGGGAGCTGCTGGGGAGCCCTGGGGCTCTCTGGCCCTCGTTTGCTCTGCAGGCTGCTCCGCCGAGGGCTGCTTGGGGGGCTGGAGGAGAAGGGGACACCTGAGATGGGGCTCTCGGGGCTCGGGGCAGGGGCTGCCTCAGCCTCGGGCCGGCAAAACCCGCTCCGTGTCCCCGCTCCAGTGCTCTCCGGAGTCTTCACGGACGTGGAGGCCTCCCTGAAGGAGATCCGGGACCTGCTGGAGGAGGACGAGGAGCAGGAGCGGAAGCTGCAGGAGCTGCTGGGCAGGAGCCCACCGGGGCCGCGCGCGTCCCCTCCGTGCCCGGCGCTGGCCGAGGTGAGCAAGGAGTGCTCCAAGTACCTGGAGGTGCACGAGAAGGCCAGCTTCACCAACACGGAGCTGCACAAGGCCATGAACCTGCACATCGGCAACCTGCGCCTGCTCAGCGGGCCGCTGGAGCAGGTCCGGGCCGCGCTGCCCGCGCCGGCGCTGACCGAGGGTGAGTGACGTGGCCCCAGTGCCCCTCGGTGCCCCTGGGCGCTGCGCCGGGCTCACGGGCGCCGCCGCCTGCGCCCGCAGACGACAAGCAGGTGCTGCAGAACCTCAAGCGGGTGCTGGCCAAGGTGCAGGAGATGCGGGAGCAGCGGGCGGCGCTGGAGCAGCAGCTGCGCGAGATGATCCAGAAGGATGATATAACCACGGCGCTGGTCACCGCCGACCGCTCCGAGATGAAGGTGGCTCCTGGGGTGCCGCTGCCACCCATGGCACTCGGCCCAGACCCTCCGTGGGCAGCTCATCCCTGTCCGGATTGGCACCAGCTCTGCCCCGTCCCAGCGCTCGGCCTGGCCCGGGGGTGGCATCGACCGCCCGCGGTCCCCTGAGGTGACAGGTCCCTCTCTTGGCAGAAACTCTTTGAGGAGCAGCTGAAGAAGTACGACCAGATCAAGGTGTACCTGGAGCAGAACCTGGCCGCCCAGGAGAACGTCCTGAAGGCCCTCACCGACGCCAACGTCAAGTACGCGGCCGTGCGCAAGGCCCTGGCCGAGGTGGAGCACAAGTGAGTGAGCGGGGGGGCCATCCTCAGCCAGGGGCTTGGGACACCCCCGTGAGCCCGGCCCGCGTGGAGGGACGGCTGCTGTAGCCTGTCCCCTGCCATGGGCCGGTGCTCGAGGCCGGAATGGCCCCGGTGCCTCTCCAGTGGCCCAGGCGCTGTGACCAAGCGGTGGTGGCACCATGGCCTTACCCGTGCCCTGCCTCCCCTGTGCCCAGGTGGAACACGACGGTGCAGACCCTGGTGGCCTCCTACGAGGCCTACGAGGACCTCATGAAGAAGTCGCAGGAGGGCAAGGACTTCTACACCGACCTGGAGGGCAAGGCGGCCAAGCTGCTGGAGAAGGCGCGGGCCGCGTGCCGCGCTGCCGACGCCGCCCGGCAGCAGCTCCTCGAGAAGTAGGTGGCACCGGGGACGGGGACGGGCAGCGGGTCGGGGTCCCCGCGGGGGGACACGCGGAGGGGCCGCCCCGCGTTGACGGTGGCCGCGTCCCGGCAGGGAGCTGAGGAAGCAGCCGCCGCCGCGGCCCACGGCGCCCAAGCCGGCCCTGGCCAAGACGCCGGCGGCGCTGGA